TGATTTAATATTTAAAGTTTTAATGAAATAACCCAACATTTCCCTGAGTTAAACTTTTTTTGACTTGTTCGAGGTTTATATCGTGTAGTGTATCACGCACGTTATTGAAATAACGTTTCATTACAGCAGCAATCATTAATATCAAATTAAGCCAATTCCGCAGCTTCATTCGAAATTCCATACTAACCTCTTTCCAGCATCATCTCGCTATCTGTTTGATAAATAATTCAAGCGAGTTATTTTCAAAACGGTGACTCACACTGTTTGTTTTATCTTAAAATTTGTCACGAACATTCTAAACCTTTGTTGTATTAGCGGAAAATGCGCATTTTGATAAAATATGTTTAATCTTTAAGCGTTGTTTAATTTTAATTTAATAATGTAATACAAAAATATTATAAACGAAAGTCCGGCGCCTTCGCCAAAAATATTATTATCCGTTTTCCAACAAAAATATCCTCTTAGAGCACTAAAAATAGAAATCGAATCACTTAAATATGTCCTGAATAAACCTACAACAACCTTTCTCCATTTCTCCACTCGAAAGCGAAATCCTTGTTTCAGCGAAACACTTAAAAGACCAATTTTGGAGATCCCATTGTCTCCCTTCATCATTTCCCATTCTGTTTTACCCCCACTTCTAAGTTTACCCTTTTTCTACCTTTTACCATCACACTTTCTAGGAGAATTACACAACCCATTTCCATCTAGCCTTAATCAAGAGACGTCGCCTTCAGCGAAAGTCCATTTACTTCTTCTTGCGATTCTAGAAAATCCAATTCCGAAAGTTAGCCAACCGTTAACTTCGAGTTTTGTAATTGATTGTTATTCGCCCCTCATTGAAAAAGAAAAACTAAAAATAAAAATTAGTTAGTTTGAAATATTTTGTGATAAATCCAAACTCTTTTTAAAAAAGTTTTTCGCTGTTGTTTTAATATAAAAGCTTTCTCTGTTTCACTCACTCGGAAACGATCGGTTGCTTTCGGTTAGCTTTTGGGCGGGAGCAGCTTCACCATGAAGCTTTCGTAGTGCCGTCAGTTCCACTTTAGAGTACGTGCGTTCGTTTCAACCCTTCCATCATCTAGATACAAAAAAGCTCTTTTTTTAGAAGAAAAATGACTGAAGGTTAGTTTTATTTTATTAAAATGTTGAATGAAACTATCGATTTGTTATTATTTTTGACACAACATTTTATATATTCTTTATAAAATCCCCTTGTGTAATATGTTTCAATGCTTTGTAAAAGCTTTACAAGCGATTTAGAAACGCTTTACGAATATAAGGAAAAATATTCAGTAGATTTTAGAATAAAATTTAAAAAAAAGATGAAGTATATCGTATTTACTTTGTAAATAGTGATTTTCTTTGAAAAATAAAAATGTAGGAAAGATGAGATGCTGACTAAAGCTTTGAAAGGGCGAGAACTTTGCCCTTTTCTTTTACGCAGTCACGTTTTTAGCCTTACCTATTATCCAAAGACGTGAACAACGTCAAGTTGACGGACGGTGTAAGTTAATTAAACGAATAAAAAATCTTATTTAATCTTAATTACATCTCAAAATGTATTATTATTAATATGCGTAAATTTATATAATTTTGGTTAAATTAAAAAATGTATATCTCAAAATTTTTCAAAACGGACACTATTATTGCAAAAACAGATACATTCTTTAGTATCTTTTGGAAATATGAGAACTACATTCCAAGTTTACAACTCGTCACAATTCTATAATGCTTAGCAAGAAGAATTGAAAATGTATCAAATTGTGCTCACATTAGAAAGTTGCTATCTCAAAAATAAAAAGAGATTTTTCAACACGAATACTTTTATTGCAAAATAGATATATTCTTTAGTCATTCTTTGCAATGTGAAAGCTACTTTCCAAGTTTACCATTCGTCACAGTTCTTTAAAGCTCACCAAGAAGAATTGAAAATTTAACAAATTGTGCTCACATTGGAACGTTGCTATCTCAACAATAAAAAGTGATTTTTCAAAACGGATACTTTTATTGCAAAATAGATACATTCTTTAGTACTTCTTGGAAATATGAGAGCTATTTTCCAAGTTTAGCATTCGTCACAGTTCTTTAAAGCTTACCAAGAAGAATTGAAAATTTAACAAATTGTGCTCACATTGGAAAGTTGCTATCTCAAAAACTACGAGTGCTTTTTCAAAACGGATACTTTTATTGAAAAATAGATACATTCTTTAGTAATTCTTAGAAATATGAGAGCTACTTTCCAAGTTTACCATTCGTCACAGTTCTTTAAAGTTCACCAAAAAGAATTGAAAATTTAACAAATTGTGCCCACATTGGAAAGTTGCTATCTCAATAATGAAAAGTGATTTATTAAAACCGATACTTTTATTGCAAAATAGATACATTGTTTAGTAATTCTTACAAATATGAGAGCTACTTTCCAAATTTACCATTCGTCACAGTTCTTTAAAACACACCAAGAAAGAAAATTTAGCAAATTGTGCTCACATTGGAACGTTGCTATCTCAAAAATAAAAAGTGATTTTTCAAAACGGATAATGTTATTGCACAATAGATACTTTCTTTAATAACTCTTGGAAATATGAGAGCTACATTCCAAGTTTACAATTCGTTACAGTTCTTTAAAGCTCACCAAGAAGAATTGAAAATTTAACAAATTGTGCTCACATTGGAAACTTGCTATCTCAAAAAAGAAAAGATATTTTTTAAAACCGATACTTTTATTGCAAAATAGATACATTCTTTAGTAATTCTTGGAAATATGAGAGCTACTTTCCAAGTTTACCATTCGACACAGTTCTTTAAAGCTCACCAAAAGAATTAAAAATTTAACAAATTGTGCTCACATTGGAAAGTTGCTATCTCAAAAATGAAAAGTGATTTTTCAAAACGGATACTTTTATTGCAAAATAGATACATTCTTTAGTAACTCTTGAAAATATGAGAGCTACTTTCCAAGTTTACCATTCGTCACAGTTCTTTAAACCTCACCTAGAAGAATTGAAAATTTATCAAATTGTGCTCACATTGGAAAGTTGCTATCTCAAAAATAAAAAGTGATTTTTCAATACGAATACTTTTATTGCAAAATAGATACTTTCTTTAGTAATTCTTAGAAATATGAGAGCTACTTTCCAAGTTTACCATTCGTCACAGTTCTTTAAAGTTCACCAAGAAGAATTGAAAATTTAACAAATTGTGCTCACATTTGGAAGTAGCTATCTCAAAAATAAAAAGTGATTTTTCAAAACGGGCAATGTTATTGCAAAATAGATACTTTCTTTAGCAACTCTTGGAAATATGAGAGCTACATTCCAAGTTTACAATTCGTCACAGTTCTTTAAAGCTCACCAAGAAGAATTGAAAATTTAACAAATTGTGCTCACATTGGAACCTTGCTATCTCAAAGAAGAAAAGAGATTTTTTTAAACCGATACTTTTATTGCAAAATAGATACATTCTTTAGTACTTCTTGGAAATATGAGAGCTACTTTCCAAGTTTACCACACATCACAGTTCTTTAAAGCTCACCAAGAAGAATTGAAAATTTATCAAATTGTGCTCACATTGGAAAGTTGCTATCTCAAAAATAAAAAATTATTTTTCAAAGCGGATACTTTTATTGCAAAATAGATACATTCTTTACTAACTCTTGGAAATTGGAGAGCTACTTTCCAAGTTTACCATTCGTCACAGTTCTTTAAAGTCCACCAAGAAGAATTGAAAATTGAACAAATTGTGCTCACATTTGAAAGTAGCTATCTCAAAAATGAAAAGTGATTTTTCAAAACGGATATTTTTATTGCAAAATAGATACATTCTTTACTTATTCTTGTAAATATGAGAGCTACTTTCCAAGTTTACTATTCGACGCAGTTCTTTAAATCTAACCAAAAAGAATTGAAAATTTAACAAATTGTGTCCACATTGGAAAGTTGCTATCTCAAAAATGAAAAATGATTTTTCAAAACGGATACTTTTATTGCAAAATAGATACATTCTTTAGTAATTCTTTGAAATGTGAAAGCTACTTTCCAAGTTTACCATTCCTCACAGTTCTTTAAAGCTCACCAAAATAGAAAATTTGTCAAATTGTGCTTACATTGGAATGTTGCTATCTCAAAAATGATTTTTTAAAGCTTATACTTTTATTGCAAACTACAGTGAAATTCCCCTAACTCGAATCACTAAGCGGAAGGAAACTTCGAGTTATGGAAAATTCGAGTTAGAGAAACACATTTGAAGCCTAATCAAACGCTTGAGCTTACGAAAATTATTCGACTTAGAGGATAATTCGAGATATAGAAGTTCCAGTTAGGGGAATTTCACTGTATATGCATTCTCAATATGGCACCTCACAGTATTTTAAACTTAGTTATGAATATTTGAAAATCTAAATTATTTAGATCAAATTAAAAACGAATTGTATCACAAAAACTAAAAATGATTTTTCAAAATAGATACTTTTATTTATCTACTCATAATACTTTAATGGATAACTGAATTTGCTGTACTATTTTTATATTGGGAGTGTTTATTACGTGTACACCCTATTTTATAAGAACTTTATCATTTATTCCATCAATACGACTTTTAATTACATTTTTAAATTAAAACTCACATTAATAATACGGCATCCATCAATTATTTAAGATAAAAACCTTTTAGATAAATGAACAAACGTTAACAATATTGAATCAAAAGAAACGCAAACATTTTTCTTTTTATTTGATAAAACAATGCCGTATGTAGCACCAATTCTTGGCATTCTTTCAACTTGGATCCGAGACGTATGCATTTAATAAACATTGCGTCGAGACCGGAAATATCTCCGGAAAGCCATTCGAAAAGCCCCGGAGTTTCTGTTAGATAAGCGATCCGCGACATACATATTAAATTTACATTCTGTTCCGGTTGTATATCATTCTTTGTCTCAGGATAACAAAAAAAATGTTGGAAGGGAGTTTTAAACTAATTTCATTTTCTTTCTTTTTTAGCCGAACAAGTAGTAGAAGAAGCAAAAACATGCGGAAGAATTCTAGTAGTTTTGTCTTGGATTGTCGTGGTTCTGACGATGCCGTTCTCCCTCTTTGTCTGTTTCAAGGTAAATTTAGATTTATAAACGTCGTTGAAGTTTGTCTAATTAGTGTACATACACATAACAACGGGAACTAAACCACCGCCACGGTTCTTGTCCCTTATTAACTATGTATTTAGGGTGAGACGTTAATTAAAGTGAGGCTTCGCACATCCGATAGAATCATAGAGATGAACGACGATGGATGGCAGGAAGCGAAACTCCACCAAAGTTTGGCAACCACGTTAAATCGGCTCGATACTGAGTTCGTGGTATTGATTTTGAGGTGTGCTATTTCGACGATCGTCAATTTACTCTTTGTCTTTATTTTTCTTAATTATACCGGTTTTTGAAATTCTCAGTTTGTTTGGAATTTGAAGGGGGAGAAATTCAATTTAGTCGGGTAATGTGGAGTATTTAATAAAAGGGGAGGTGATACCTGTTGACATTCTTGGGTGGTGGGTTTAATCTTTTCAGGAAAATGGGGAAGTCGTTTGATAAAGCTAAAATATTTATTAATCCTAAACTAATTAATGAAGTCGTAAATTATATTTAAAGTAAAAAATTATTTTTCGTGGAAAAATCTCTACTAATAACGATTATTGTTGCGGTTTTACGATCCCTGAACGTAAACATCGTTATCTTCAAGTTATACAGGGAAAAGCGTGCATATTTATAGTCCATAACGTTTCCACGGAAACGAGACGGCTTTGTTTTTTTGTTGTCGTTTGTTTCACCCTGAAGTGCTCGGCGTATCTGGACTTTACAATACATTGTATATACAGTGTCCAACGAAAAGTTATGACAAAAAAAATACACGATAATATCGAAATTTACAGAAAAAATAAATTTAAGAAATCATATCGGCTGTATTTTTAAGAATGTTGATATGATATGTATGTTAAATTGAAATTTAAAGATTCTCGTTTATGATATGATATAAAAACTATGTGATGATATTAATGAAATTTCCTGAAAAAAATTATAGATATTGTCAAATTCATAAATCAAACATAATCCAAATTTTCAAAAAATCATATTAACCGCATTTTTAAGAATCTTGATATGATATGTATGTTAAATTGAAGTTTAAAGATTCAAGTTTATGATACGATATAAAAATTATGAGATAATATTATTGAAATTTCCAGGAAAAAGTTATAAAAGAATCAATTTTCAAATTTATGAATAAAAAATAACTCTAAATTTAAAAAAATCATATCAACTGTATTTTTAAGGTTCACGATATGATTTGTATGTTAAATCGTAGCTTAAAGATTCTCGTTTATGATAGGATATAGAAACTATATGATGATAGTAATGAAATTTCCAGAAAAAATTATAGAAATTTTCAAATTTATAAATCAAACAATACAAATTTTCAAAAAATCATATTAACTGTATTTTTAAGAACCTTGATATGATATGTATGTTCAATTGAAGCTTAAAAATTCTAGGTTATAATACAATATAAAAATTATGAGATAATATTATTGAAATTTCCAGGAAAAAGTTATAAAAGGGGCAATTCTCAAATTTATGAATAAAAAATAACTCTAAATTTAAAAAGATCATATCGACTGTACTTTTAAGGTTCATGATATGATTTGTATGTTAAATCGTAGCTTAAAGATTCTCGTTTATGATATGATATAAAAGTTATATGATGATATCAATGAAATTTCCAGAAACAAATTATTAAAAAATGGTAAAATTTATAAATCAAACATAAAGCAAATTTTCAAAAAATCATATTAACTGTATTTTTAAGAATCTTGATATGATATGTATGTTAAATTGAAGCTTAAAAATTCTGGTTTATGATATGATATAAAAACTATATGATGATATTAATGAAATTTCCAGAAAAAAATTATTAAAGAAGAAATTATCAAATTTATAAATCAAACATTATGTCAAATTTTCAAAAAATCATATCGACTGTATTTTTAAGGTTCATGATATGATTTGTATGTTAAATCGTAGCTTAAAGATTCTCGTTTATGATATGATATAAAAACTATGTGATGATATTAATGAAATTTCCAGAAAAAAATTATTAAAGAAGAAATTGTCAAATTTATAAATCAAACATAATGCAGATTTTCAAAAAGTCATATTGACTGTATTTTTAAGAATTTTGATATGAAATGTATGTTAAGTTGAAGCTTAAAGATTCTAGTTCACAATATGATATAAAAATTATGAGATAATGTTATTGAAATTTCCAGGAAGAAGTTATAGAAGAAGTAATTCTCAAATTTATGAATAAAAAATAACTCTAAATTTAAAAAGATCATATCGACTGTATTTTTAAGGTTCATGATATAATTTGTATGTTAAATCGTAGCTTAAAGATTCTCGTTTATGATATGATATAAAAACTATGTGATGATATTAATGAAATTTCCAGATAAAAATTATTAAAGAAATGGTCAAATTTATAAATCAAACATAATGCAAATTTTCAAAAAATCATATTAGCTGTATTTTTAAGAACCTTAATATAATATGTATGTTAAATTGCAGCTTAAAGATTCTAGTTTATGATGTAATATAAAAATTATGAGATAATATTATTGAAATTTCCAGGAAAAAGTTATAAAAGAAGCAATTCTCAAATTTATGAATATAAAATAGCTCTAAATTAAAAAAAAATCATATCGACTGTATTTTTAAGGTTCATGATATGTTTTGTATGTTAAATTGAAGCTTAAAGATTCTCGTTTATGATATGATATAAAAACTATATGATAATATTAATGAAATTTCCAGAAAAAAATTATTATTGAAGAGATTGTCAAATTTATAAATCAAACATACTGTCAAATTGTCAAAAAATCATATTGACAGTATTTTTAAGAATCTTGTAATGATATGTATGTTAAATTGATGCTTAAAGATTCTAGTTTATGATATGATATAAAAACTATATGATGATATTACTGAAATTTCCAGGAAAAAGGTATAAAGAAGCAATTTTCCAATTTATGAATAAAAAATAACTATAAATTTAAACATATCATATCGACTGTATTTTTAAGGTTCATGATATGATTTGTATGTTAAATTGAAGCTTAAAGATTCTCGCTTATATGATATAAAAACTATATGATGATATTAATGAAATTTCCAGGAAAAAGTTATAGAAAACGCAATTCTCAAATTTTTGAATAACGAATACCTCTAAATTTAAAAAGATCATATCGACTGTATTTTTAAGGTTCATGATATGATTTGTATGTTAAATTGAAGCTTAAAGATTCTCGTTTATGATATGATTTAAAAACTATGTGATGATATTAATGAAATTTCCAGAAAAAATTATTATAGAAATTGTCAAATTTATAAATTAAACATAATGCAAATTTTCAAAAAATCATATTAACTGTATTTTTAAGAATTTTAATATGATATGTATGTTAAAGTGAAGCTTAAAGATTTTAGTTTATAATATGATATAAAAATTATCAGATAATATTATTGAAATTTTCAGGAAAAAGTTATAAAAGCAGCAATTCTCAAAATTATGAATAAAAAATAATTCTAAATTGAAAAAAAAAATCTTATCGACTGTATTTTTAAGCTTCATGATATGATTTGTATGTTAAATTGAAGCTTAAAGATTCTCGTTTATGATATGATATAAAAACTATGTGATGATATTAATGAAATTTCTTGAAAAAAATTATTATAGATATTGTCAAATTTATAAATCAAACATAATGCAAATTTTCAAAAAATCATATTAACTGCACTTTTAAGAATCTTGATAGGATATGTATGTTAAATTGAAGCTTAAAGATTCTAGATTATGATACGATATAAAAATTATGAGACAATATTATTGAAATTTCCAGGAAAAAGTTATAAAAGAAGCAATTCTCCAATTTATGAAAGAAAAATAACTTTAAATTAAAAAAAATCATATCGACTGTATTTTTAAGATTCATGATATGATTTGTATGTTAAATTGAAGCTGAAAGATTCGCGTTTATGATATGATATAAAAACTATAAGATAATATTGAAATCTCCAGCAAAAATCCATCTTGAAAATATGTTAGATCAAAAGATCGGATATAAGAACATTCCATTTAAACAAAATTTCAGAAAGTTGATGCAATAAAACTAAAAGAAAACATGGTGTTGCTGACTTTTTGACGGATACTGTATATAATTTTTTATAAACACAATTTTCTGCCAAACAGAATTCTTTATTATTGTCTTTCATGCCATTTTCCAATTCAATATTACAATAAAAAGATAATGAAATAGTAGTAGTACATTAAAGATTATCTTTTGATGGTTTGAAAAATCGATTAAAACTCGTTTTGTTTTGCCAGTTCCGGATGCTAATCAAGTCCATTTGCAATTCATCCCGACAGCAAAACAACCGGACCGCTTCGGAACTAATCCATGTCTTAATGGACTGAGCTGCCATTGCCCCAGTTTTCGTCCCCTAACTCTTTAAGCTCTCTTTTCAATTCAAACCGAACGAGGAAATAAAATTTTTATCACGTACCACTCCTTTACTTCTCAAAATAACCCGGTTTAATTATAAAATTGCGTTTTTTATGGAATTTACAATTTTTTTTCTGTTTTTTTTTAGGTAGTTCAAGAATATGAAAGAGCGGTCATTTTTAGGCTTGGTCGTCTTTTATCTGGCGGGGCAAAAGGACCTGGTAAGAAATTTATTTCAAAATTAATAATCTTCGTGATAAATCTCAAATGAATAATTTCAATTGAGTGGGTTGTATGATATTGAATTAACCGGGTAAAATTGAAGCACACAGAACTAATTAAACTGCATGCGAAATCGTCAGGGTTTCCGAAGCACTTCCGGGCATTGTGTCTCAAAACCGACGTCGGTCGCATAAAGGATGCACAAGTATACCGGGGGTGGTACTTCACAAAATAACAGCTCGCGTGGACGTATAAAGTGATATATGGAAGTTCGTACTTACTTCTAACTAGAAATGTTGTTTACGACTTTTAACTCCATAACGTTAAACGAATAAAAAGCTTGGTTTTTCAGGTTTGGAGCTTATTCCCCGTAACTCTGAAATCGTTTCAGAATTCGTTGAGATTGTTCATTTGAATAACGCAGTTTGCAAATTGCCAGAGAATTACTCTAGTTCCAGATTATGAAATGAAGTATTCCATTGTTATTAAAATTAACTTATCGCAATTAAATAGTTCTATTCTAAAGCATTAATTTAAATTTTATGCAAATGCACGTATCGTACAAGTTATTTGAATGTCTCTGCGAAATGAATTAAGCAATGTCGAGCTATATTAATTAAGAAATTTAACGTATTAAAATTAACTACGTGTTATACAGAGTTAATAAAGCATTCTAGAAAATCAATCTTTCATGGCGTCCTTATATTGATATAAATCGTTAACTACAATGTGTTCCAATACTTTGGGTAATAGTAAAGAATACGACCTGATTGGTCTTCTGGGTGGTAGAACTTCAACATTTTATTTATCTTCTAAAGGCAAAAATTAAAAAATTTGAGAATGTACAACAAATTTGAAATGTACAAAATGTAATAAAATATAATATAGCGAATTTGCATAATTATATACATTCTCTAATAAAAAGATAAATAGAACGATGAACGACGGTGAACGACGGTGAATAGAACGATAGAAGATAGATGTTTCAATAAATGCTCGGATTTATCAAGTTTATAAATCGTTCTTGAGGAAGTCTCCTCTTCTAACAACTCCAAACATGTAAACAAAATCATATTGACTGTATTTTTAAGAATTTTGATATGAAATGTATGTTAAATTGAAGCTTAAAAATTCTAGTTTAAGATACGATATAAAAATTATGAGATAATATTATTGAAATTTCGAGGAAAAAGTTATAAAAGGAGCAATTCTCAAATTTATGAATAAAAAATAACTCTAAATTTAAAAAGATCATATCGACTGTATTTTTAAGGTTCATGATATGATTTGTATGTTAAATTGAAGCTTAAAGATTCTGGTTTATGATATGACATAAAAGTTATATGATGATATCAATGAAATTTCCAGAAAAAAATTATTAAAAAATGGTCAAATTTATAAATCAAACATAATGCAAATTTTCAAAAAATCATATTAACTGTATTTTTAAGAATCTTGATATGATATGTATGTTAAAGTGAAGCTTAAAGATTCTGGTTTATGATATGATATAAAAACTATATGATGATATTAATGAAATTTCCAGAAAAAAATTATTAAAGAAGAAATTGTCAAATTTATAAATCAAACATTATATCAAATTTTCAAAAAATCATATTGACTATATTTTTAAGAATCTTGTAATAATATGTATGTTAAATTGAAGCTTAAAG